CAATCAATCAATCAATCAATCAATCAATCAATTCTTTTGGGGGCAGGGCTTATATTGGACATATGTGTAGAAAACATGCTAAGGCTTATTTTTAGGATAGGTCTTATTTTCAGGAAAACATGGTGGTAACAAGTGCTGTCAGTTTATATTCTGGTGTCTTGTCTTTCTGGGTGGGTGGGCGGTCTTAGAGATTCTTTGGTTGGGCTTTTTACTGATGGCTCTTTGGCAGTTTCTTAATTGGGGTATGGCTTACTTGATAGTTGGTCAGAAGTTAACCTTGGAGTTAATCTATGCTGATCTGAGTGCTGATTATTGGTGGAGTCTTTTTCTCTTTTGGGATGCTTGATTGCCTCTTTTGCATAGTCTATAGATGTTGTTAATGTCTATGTGCCTGTTGATGGCTGATTTGTCAGAGTGCTAGGCTTATAGAAATTCCCTGGCATATTTGGCCTAGTCTAGGATTGTCACATTTCCCCCAGTTGAAACTATGGTTAAATCTGTCGATATGTTGTGAAATCAAAGAGTTTCCATCATGTCTTCTGACTGCCAGTTGGTGTTCATGGATGCGTGCTACCAGTCTTCTGCCTGTTTGTCCTACATAGTGGTTGTTACAGTTCTTGCATTGTGTGTTGTAGTTGACTCCTTTTTTCTTTTGGGGTTTCTGGGTCTTTTGGTTTGCTTAGGATGTTTTGAGGGAATGTCAACTCCTAAGTTTACTTTAGCCACGACATCAATGCCATATGTCCAGATATCATACTGAAGAACACCAGCATGGCTCTTTAAACTTTTACCTCCACCTCCCAATCTTCCAATATATGAAAAATCTCAAAGTACTTCCAGCAACTTAGTTATACCAGCAACAAGTTATGGCTGCTAAGTGTGGAGCCCAAGGAGATCTGAAATAGAGAAGCTTTGAGTACACAGTACAGTTAAGTGGTGGAAGAGTAAATACTAAAAGTTTCACTCAGATACCAAATCTGAAATGCAGAAATATACTGCGGAACCAACTTGAAGATGTCATCAAAATGGCACAGAAAGAAATTATGAATGGGCAGGAATATTTTTAAAAATGCAAAGCAACTGGTGGCCCCCAATAGGTAGCCCTTTTGGATGCTTGTAGGATTGACCGCCTCTGAGTTGGAGAGATAAAATAAAGAAAAATCTTGGACCCAGACAGAATATTATAGCATTGGACTATATACAACACAAAAAACCTATTCATTTTGTCGTTTCCAGCAGTGAACATACCTAAGTGAATGGACTAAACTACTGAATAAATTATTTTACTTTTTTCCTTTTCTAATACATCCTTTTCTCCTCAAACTCCCCCCTTGTCACTCATATTCTTCTCATTCTTGTTTCCTCCACTAGTCACCTCAAGCTTTTATTTTAACCAGTCAAATTAATAATTCTTTTAGATTTGTATTCTTTCGTTATGTACCTGTATGGTTAGCCACATGCTTAAACCACATATTCCATTTAGACTTTGCCACTTTTAGTGGTTTGTGTAAGAATTTTAACCTACAATCAATGTTCCCTCTAAGCTGTGCGGCTGCGCAGCTGCACATGTAACAAGAAAACGCCGCGCAGCAGTTTCCAACTGCCGCGCAGTGATTTTTAATGTCACAGCGTGCTAGGATCACGCGTGTGGCACTGCCCCACTCAGGATGGAGGGCTGTCGTGAGTCCTTCCTTCCTTCGGGATGGGAGCGGCTTTCCAAGCTTCACCCCTTCCCCTCTTCTCCCGATCACCACCCACCACCCCTTGGCGAAAGCCTCACCTTCGCTCAGCGGAGTTGGCTGGCCAGCCCGAGCGCACAAGCCAGGCACCCACAGATGCACCCAGCCCAGGCAGTCACCCCTCTCCCCCATTCCTTGAGTGGGTGTGGAAAGCGCAGCCCCCTCCTCAGCAAAAGCCAGACAATATGTAGCATGTCGAGATCTCTCCAAGCCACTGGGGGTCCTTCCCTCCCCCTCCCCTCTGCCCAGCAAAAAAATGCAGGTGCTCAGGGATGAAAATGTGCCACTCAAACACTAGACTTTTCTGCACACACTGAAAAAAAATTAGAGGGAACATTGCATACAATATTTAATAAGTAGAACAAGTATAGACTAGGTTATTGTCAGCCCTTTGAGGTTGTCCAGATCAGGAAACAGACACCACAAAAAGACTACAACTATATTGAGATAGGCGGTTGTAACATCAACATACAAGCCTGACTGCATTTCTCTTCCTTTCCTCTTATATTCCAGGGAATTGGGGAGGAACCAGAATGAGACTTCCTAATACTTTTTCTGTTTTCTGGTATCAAAGTATGTTTTTGCACATGTTGTAATAAGTTCTAAGTCCCAGGGTGGGGTCAAGTGCGCAATCAGTTTGGAGTCCCTTCACTCTCACAAGAGATCTAAGTCCCAGCCCTCCTTGAATTCCATTGACTCATATCTAACCGCCAATTTGCCTTGACCATTAGTAGTTCAGATTCTTGTAAAGAGATAAAATGGAATAAACTTGCAATAATTTGAAGAACCTTGGTTCCTGATTTATTGCAGCTGACAACGTCCATTTGATTCACTTTACAACCGTGGTGACTCACTTTACGGTCATTGTAAAAATGGTTGTTAAATCGGGGGAGTCATGTGGTCCCTTGACTTGTAACCACAATATATTATGACTAAAATTCTTGAGTTTTTGGTGCCATGATTGTTAAGTCCAGGATTTACCTGTATAGTATTTAACTTCAATTCAAGACTTGCTTGGAGCTTAACTATTGGCTCATATTATTTCACCAATGGACGTACATTGCATATATCTCCATTCTTGGAGGAATAAATAGTTACATGAGCCTGATTTAGGAAAGGCTAAAACTAATGTTGTTTAAAATATGCTTCAAGCATTGTATTGTTTTAGGACTTGTAATTCCTCTTCAAACACTAGGTAGAAAATTACAGCTACCACCACTACAAAGAATACTGCCCTAACCATTTTTCTCTGCTTCTATTGAGGCTATATGCTGCACCGGTTAAGGGCATCATGCAGCAAAAAAAGTTATTGACTCCCCTGCAGTGGTGTCGACATGTTCTTGATAATCCAAGCCCTGAGATGGAAGCTGCTAAGCGTTCTTTGTGCTTCAGGCTGGAACAAGGTAATTCTAAGTTTCTATTCTTCAAAAATTTTTTTTTTGAACTGAACCTTTTCTTACTGATCGTAGTTGGTTAGATATCAGTACCAGTGTAAGATTAGCCATGTGAATGTTTTTTCTATATGGATCTTGTCCTTATATATTTTATTTTATTTATAAAATAAGGATTAGGAATTTGCGTGACTTATTTCTCTTTTTGGGGGGTGTCTTATGTCTGATGATTTTAAGACACATTTCAAAGCTCTTCGTTGTGTTTCTAATATCCTTATCTTTTGGAAATATGGCTAAAGTCTGATGCACATTTATAAATAGTTGTTTTCATTTGAATGCCAGTGTCATTTTAAAATTCTCGCTTAGCTTGTACAACAACGTGTTTGTTCATTTGTCAGAAAATACCTTCAAATGACTAGAATCAGAAAGGAAGTTGATTCAGAATACTGGTTTGTGAAATAAGTGCAATATTGACAGTATGGTGAAATGATGATTGTGGCAAAAGCCAAGGAACCAATTAGAAGCAGAAGATATGAACACATTTACTACATCAGCTGCTATGTCTCTTATCAACATGGCAATTGGACTGATTTATTGCCTCTCGCAGAATTTGTCTATAACAATTCACTGTATACCTTTGTCTTCTTTTCAAGAAGTCTGTGGACACCATCAACGTCACCTGCTCTGTAGAAGTCACAACTCAGCTGTTCCTTAAGCCTCTGGGGTTATCCAGGCTGCAAAGTTTCCTTTAGAGAAACAGTTGGATTTGACCAAGGCTGGGTATAAATGTGTAAGATCGTGCCAAGATTGTGATGGAAAATTAGATATGGCTTTCCTCAAAGCCATTGTTGGAGAACCCTTTTGGCAATGAGTGCTGAAACGGGAGCACATGCACACATGCATGCCACAACCCAGAAGAGCAGCCACCTGGTGCCCATGCGCGCTCTGGGAAGATGATCTTCCGGTTTCTGGCACACGGATGTGCACTGGCTATCTGGTCTGTACATAAATACATAAAATCCAGCCAGTTCTCTCCAGTTCGGGTGAACCGGTAGCGGTGGCCGTAGGAGGTTCCACCCACACACCCTGACGTAATCCATGAGCACTGCACATGCGCAGAAGGTGATGCAGATGTGCAGATGAGAGAAGCGTGCTCACATTTGCGAACTGATAGGGAAGATAAGTGAATCCCACCTCTGGTTCAACCCTCTCACTCAGTCCAATTCACCTGACAGGTGCTTGATGAGGGGAAAATAGGAAGAGGAAGGAACATTAGACACATTTGCCACCTTGAGGATTTGGGAAGGAAGGAAGGGAGAGAGAAAGAGAGAAAAAGAAAGGAAGGAAAGAAAGAAAGAAAGGAAAGAAAGAAAGAGTCAGCCAGCCAAGGAACACTGCACTTTTATCACTTTTCCTAAAACACATTTCATACCTCTGAGTTTCACACCTTCCTTCCTCAGTTCTATTCTCAAATTACTTTTAAAAGAAGAGCAGAATGTCCACAAGTCTTTTCCCTTCCCCTGTGCCTATTGAAGGCACTCCTGCTAAAACTGACTGGAATAGACCTCACACTTACTCTAAGAACAGCAGAAAGCTCTAGATTAGAACATGCGCTGTCTGCTCTAGAGGTTGTTTTGGGTTTTTTTTTTTGTACAAATGCTGTGTTTTTGTTACTGGGGCTCTCGGAATCCCAGCTGCAAAAACAGTAGCTTTGTTCACTGTGAGTCTTCTCAAAGGCGCAATTGTGGCAAAAGAATGAATGCTGTTCACACGTGAGCTGCAGACTGCATTTGGAGTGACAGGGAACTGGCCTTGGATCAGACTGTTATGACACCCGTCCAAAGGCACAAAGGACCTTTTTTTTTTCATTTTAAAGGCATTTTACATTTTAGGATTTCTAATGAAAAGGACAAAAGATGGAAATTTGTCTTAAAAATGTCTTTTGTTATTCTTGGAATAAGATCAAGAAGACAAATAAGATCAAGAAGACATGTTAAAAGTGTTCTCTTTCATATATGCGCGTGCATAATTTAGGTAAACGATTCAATCCATCATTGGCTGTACACAAGGTGGATTTGATTGAAATCAAGTCAATTTAAATCAATAGTAAAAGGACTTGATTTAAATCAAGTAGATTTAAATATAATTTTTAAAGAGCAAATGTCACCTCTGTCCCACAGCAGCTCCTCCTATGACCCGCTGTTGACTCACCAACAGTCCCATTAATTTAATTAAAGTTCCATTAATTAACGGCTGGTGATGCGGCAGGGACACAACAAGGTGAGGCAGGCAGCAGGTAGCAGGTGAGTGGATGCCCGCTAACAGGAGCTGCCATGATGGATCTGAAATGACAGGTGCTCTTTAAATGTAAGGACTCATTCTTGCTGGTAGTTAGAATCTTTAATATTACTATTTGCAAACAAAGTGAAGATTTCCTATTTAGAGTGCATGTTATCTCAGCTTGCAGAGCTTGGATTCATTGAATGAGTTTACCAAAAATGTAAGTATTGCAGAATATACAGCCTCATGCTACATAGCTAAGCTCCATTTCATGCTGAATAAACTAAATTATTAATGCATCTTAAATAGAAAACTGTCTTTAGATAGATTTTTACTCCAAAGGCATTTTATTAAAATAAATTTGATAAAAATAAAAAAAATCTGATTTAAATAAAAACAATCAGATTTAAAATTTAAAAATCTGATCATCAATTTTTATCCACCCTGGTTGTACACCAGTTTGGCATTTAGCATGATTATAATGGAAGAATGTCTACTCTGGAGCATGTACGTTTGCATTAAAAATTGTATTTATGTAACTTGAAATTTCATTTTGGTGAAAAGAAGAAATACTTACATTTATTGACTTAAAAGCTTAAAAAAGGGGATGCAATTTATATTGACTACTTGGCAAGTGAATCTGTGGTTTATCGTGAAACTTCACTCATTCAAGTTTGTCATCAATCATTAACCCAAATAATATTGGGTTTCAAAAACCTTTTTTCTAGGATAATTAAAAGCTCACTAATATAGCATTTCTTTTAAGTGTTTTTAAATACGACTTTGTTATTCTGTATGCAATAACAATGATTTTAGTGTTTAACAAAACTATAACTTCTAAAGTTCTTATTTCAGTATGTATGCTCATTTTGTCCGTAATCATAATATTCTCACATCCTTTATTTTATTTTTAAATTTAAATAATTTGTATAGGTAAATATTGGTACCAAGAAGTGTTTAAAATGTTCAGCGTTAAATTGTATTGTATGGGAGAGAAGAAAATTAGGAAAAGAAAAAACACTTTATTCCCTTTTGCCTAGTTTTTTTAAATGTATCTTAAAACAGGATTTTTCCCCTCTAACCTATAGAAAATTATTTGCATTCTATCAGTTCAGTGGGACTAACTCCCATGCAAATGGCATCTTGCTTCGATATGAGATGGACAGCAAATAAATTTAATAAATCTCTCATACATCAGTTGGTTTGGGAATAAAATTCCCTGTCTCCAATGATACTTATCTCTCTAGATATACATAACATCACTACTGTTTGATCTTTCCTGTGATATTAACTTCCTAATAGATATGCATTCTGTTGCTAAACACAAACTGATATTTTCTTTTCTGTGCCCACTAACAGCTAGTAGATGGCGGAGTCTCTTCTCTTCATCTGTATCCTTGGCTTTTCCTTATAGTCCTGTTGCAAGGTTTACTCCATATAGCAATAGCTTTAACAGCCCTGCGTTCCCTAAAACCTTCAGCAAAGCAATATTAACACCTGAACAAACAGGTAATGCCTACTTTCTTACTAACATAGCAATTTAATATTCTCTAAATCCAAGCCCTGTAGGTTTACAGACAGTGACCCCCGCTTTAAGGACCCTGTTTGCTGTAAAGAAAACTACAAATAATAGATAGAAAATAACTAGGAATCCCAAATCTAAAATAAATCCATACTGCAGTTTTCATTATTGTTTCTTTGTTCTCCTTTTTTTAATGTGAAGAAATTATAGGATTCCTATTTGTATTGAATTAATGAACAGAGATAACTATAATACCACTTTTAATACATGCTGTTTAAATGGACTGTAATAGAACTGAATATTTTGAAAATGATTTGAAAGAAGAACCTGTGTTTTCCCAAAAATAGGACCCTATCTTATATATATTTTTGCCACCAAAAAGGGCACTAGGCCTTATTTTCAGAGGGTGTCGTCCACTGACTCACCTCATTTGCGCACGTCGCCCCTGGCCTCCTTTTTGCTGTCAGAGGCCTCCAGGAACTTCTCTGCGGCTGGCAAGGCTTTCCTCAAGCTCTCCGCAGCCGATAACAGATCCAGAGTTGATCAGGAAAACCTTGCCAACTGCAGAAGAAATGGGTCAGCAAAGCAGGTGTTGGGGTGTCCCAGGCCTGGCTGCAACTGTCCAAAGGTAAGTAGTAGGGCAGCTCCACCCACCATCATCCCCACCCTAGCTTAATTTTTACCCGTGCACCTGAAGTAGGTGAGGTCTTAATTAGGGCTTATTTTGGGGGTAGGGTTTATGTTTTGACCCCCCTCCGTACGGTGAGTCACGCCGACACAAGATTACTGCTAAACAATTTATTCACAGTAAATTAACACACCGACAAGACTTTGGCAGCAACCCAGACTTCCACAGATAAGAAATACACACAAGAGCTTCTTCAGCTTTAGTATAACGGTTGTGTCCTGCAGAAAGCCTCCTCCCAAAGTCTCTTCTTATATACTCTCTTGGGAGGAGCCTAATCACAACCACCTGGCCCCAATTATCTTCTATATCTCTGTAGTTGCTGTCAGCGTGTATCTGCCTGTCTTTGCCTGGTGTCTGGGACCACCTCCCTTAGCTCCTCCCCACTGCTCCAGGGTCTGAAGTCAGGGACCAACTTCCTTTGGCTTTCACCGCTGCTCCATGCCTCAGGTGCCTCCTGGTGGCCAACCAGCTTCTCTGGTCCCTGCTCGGAGTCTGACCCCTGTCCAGGGTCCTCTACCTCTTCCAGAGCTGATTCATAGAGTCCCTCGCTATCGGAGTCTGTTTGCAGCTCCAATGGCTCCTGTTGGGCCACAACAGGTTTATATTGGGCGCACATGTAAAAATCAAGCTAGCCTTTACTTTCGGGGTAGGTGAAACACAGTATGTTTAACCATTCACCAGCAATTTACAGCCATTTTCTGCACTCTTCTGAACTTGCAAATTAATTCACCTGCTTTAAGAATTTTAATGAATCAGCTCAAGGCAGTAGCAACTTTTTTGAGGTTTGTAGAAGGGGCTCTATGTAATGAATAACATAAAATAGTGGTGTTCAGGTGTAGTCTGAGCACATTCCTAATCATCTGCAAAGTATGCATATCCTTAGGTGACAGGGCGTTGTTTGGAGCACTTTCTAGAGTGTCATTGAGTCTTTCTTCCAAATAGATATTTATGATATTGGGATGATGTGGGCAGTCACATTTGTAGTGTATTAATTTAGGAATTAGTGCTGTTATTTTTTATGAAATGCTTATGGATGTAATGTTTTTCAACAGACTGCATTTCTAGAAGCTCCCCTCTTAGTCCCCAGTCATCTCTGGACAGTGAATTGAGCACCTCAGAAGTAGAAGATGATTCCATTTCCATGGGGTATAAACTACAAGACCTCACCGATGTCCAGATCATGGCTCGGCTACAAGAAGAAAGTAGGTTGAAATTTTTATTTTCCTACTTCTAAATAAGTGGGGTTGCTTTCTGATCAGAGAAAAAAGGGCTTGACCATTGCAAAATAATATGGTTTTGTAGAAGATGAGTTAAAAAGATTATCTAGTTAAAATTTGAAAATGTGCTACACCACATTTGGTTTTTAAGGGAAAATGGTGTTTGCATATTACTTCTCTGTAACTCCTTAAAACATCTGCATATTTTCACAAAACTGAATTGCTTTTCTTATGACGGGTGCGTGTTCCCTGGAAAGTAGGCATTGAATTGAAGGAGTTGGAGACTGATATTGTATATACACAGTCATGCATTCCCCATTTGCCTTTTGCATATGAAGTACTTCACGGCCTTAAAATGTGTAGGCTCCTATGCTTTCAAGAACTTAATTGAATAGCCAATGTAAATCACAATTAACTATCCTAACTTATATGGCATTTGACTGTTGCAAAGAGAAGAAACCTAACTGGAGTGGAGAGTGAGCTAATTGCATAAAAAGAAAATGGCAGTGTGTCACTTCTGTGCTAAAAACGTATGCATACTAGTTTTCAATTGAAGTTGATCAAATTATAGATGAATGCAGAATTTACTTTTTTAAATTTTATTTATTTAATTATCTTGTTTGGGGATGATTCCTTATATATTAAACTATATGTATTTTATGGTTTCACTAGTAACTGAGCTGACTATTTGCAATATGAAGATTCAGCATACAGATATGCATTACAATGCAATGCCGTGCAATACTACCAGCCTAGTAGCAGCTATTGTAAGAGATTGTGGGGTTCTGGGAAAGGAATGGAACAGAGAGTGAATGTAAATAATCAAGATTTGGCAGGAAAATCAGTTGCTAGCTTATCTCATTAAATGACAACCCAAGTGGAAAGAAACCTAGAAATAAGCGGGTCCGTGGCTACCTCGCACTCCCTTGTGCATCAATATCATGCAGTGATGATGTGTCATGGACTCTGGGGAGGGTAGATGGGAAGGTGGACGCTTGGGGGAAAGCGAAAGTAATTGCTGTATTCTCCCCAGAATGCTGTTTCAAGGTCAACAGTTGGGAGAAGAATGCAGCTGCATGCCAACCTGTGCTTGAAGTGATCGTTCTGAAAACACCTTGCTTGAACCTGATTGAAGGGGGAGGGAACACAGCGATGGGAGGCAGCTAAGGGAGGGCAAAGTTGAACTTGGGGATTTGGGCGGACAATTCTCAGTGAACTTGACTTCTGATAAAACTATACCTTTCTCAACAAATAGAGCCAAGGATCATTTCTGTTTAGCGGTTTAAATTTGTGGCAGTTTCAAAAAAAAATCCAGTCTTAATAAACGCAGAATAAATAAGGGTGGGAAATCTCCTCTTACCAAGAGTATGCATTTACCCAGACTCATATTAAAGAAACTTGTTATGACCTAGGCTTCCCAAGAGCATTAAGCAAACTCCTTGTCCTGATAAAAAAACCCTTTTATTAATTTACTGTGAATTCTGCTCATTCACATCCATCAAAGTCTTTCAAGGGAGGATTTACAGTCACAGGCCTTAATCTGGCTTGGAGAGCTAACAGGCTGATATTTGCAAAACTTGGCAAGGAATCTCAGAGAGTTACAAACCAATTAAGCAAACTAATTGTCTCCTGCAAATTCCACTCCTCTTTTATTTCCTCTGGGAGGGCCATTCATCGTCCAGCTGTGGCCTTACTCCCAAGTTGACCCCTGTTCTTTAGCTGTTCTCTTATTTTGGCAACTCTGCACATGTGCACACTGGGAACAGGCTCCAGCTGCTCGTCTGTCTCACTGATGTCTGACTCTGAAGGCAGCTGATAACTGGCATACGGCTACGGCTCCCTCTCTGCCTCTGACTCAGGGCTTTCATCAGGGCTTTCCCCTGACTCCAGGAATGGCCCATGTTCCTCCCCAACCTCCTCACTGTCCGAATCTGCTGCCAGCTCCTCTGGCTGCTGGCGGACGACAACAAAACCTTTCTGAAATCTCTATAATTTTTACTTCTTTGATTATGGTTTGTCCAGCAAGATGGAAATAATAATACAATTATAATTATATTATTAGTAGAAGTACAATTTTTTTACCACTTTGTATTTTGGATCTTGTTTTCCTTTACAGGCCTGAGGCAAGACTATGCTTCAACTTCAACCTCGGTGTCAAGAAACCTTTCCAATGTTTCCCTTCCTTTGATCAAAAAAGGGATCGGTGGTGATCAGGAATTTGATCGTTATAGCCTTGAAGATGAGGAAGAAGAATTTGACCACTTGCCCCCACCACAGCCTCGACTCACCCGTTGCTCTCCTTTCCAAAAAGGAATTCCCCATTCCCAAACTTTCTCCAACATACGGGACTGTAGGAGGAGCCCAATTTCCCCATATTTTCCCTACAGTAATAATCAACAGCAGCCATTTTGTTCTCCTCAACCGCCAAATCTTCTGGAGTCTCAATCAAACAGAATTAATGGAGGTAAGAGTTGCTGGGCTGTGTGAGTTTTTCTTGACATCAGCTTACATCTGATCCTGAACACACTGTAATACTAGTGGGCTGTTCTCTTTTTGAGAACAGCCGAGGTGGCGCAGTGGTTAGGGTGCAGTACTGCAGGCCACTTCAGCTGACTGTTATCTGCAGTTCGGCGGTTCTAATCCCACCGGCTCAAGGTTGACTCAGCCTTCCATCCTTCCGAGGTGGGTAAAATGAGGACCCGGATTGTTGGGGGCAATATGCTGACTCTGTAAACCGCTTAGAGAGGGCTGAAAGCCCTATGAAGCGGTATATAAGTCTAACTGCTATTGCTATTGCTATTGCTATATTGACAATATGCCTAAAAACTATTCATAAAGGCTTAATATTCTGGAAGTAGTTTCCTTCTTTCCATATATGTCCCATTCTTCAAATTTCTTTTTTTTAATTTTCCCACTCAAGCAGACATTTTCTCTTCCTTAAGAAGTGGATTCCTGTGTTTAGTAGTATGAATTTTGTTGTTTCAAGTCGAGCTCTTGTAATCCTGTCACTCTCAGCCATTACAACAGTTAACTGTTAACAGATTCTAATAAAGTTAGAAGGTATTAAGAAAGGAAGGTTAATTTAAATGAAGGTTCAAAATCCATGCATCACAGTAAACTGCATCTATTGTTGGGGCGATCTTGACTAACAGATGCTGCTGACTCAGTAACATTTTATATACCGTATTTATAATACGCACCTCCCTCCCCAAAAAAGGAGGGTGAAAATCTGGGTGCGTCTTATACACTAAATATAGCATTTTTGGCCTCCCGAAACCCTGCCCCGTGCATCCCATTTTTTGCAAAAATGGACACACAGAGGGTTTGGGAGGCCTATAGAGTGCTCCTGGGGGCTGGGGAGGGCAAAAACAAGTGAAAAGGGGCCTGTTTTCACAAAAACAGTGTTTCTGCCCTCCCAAGCCCCCAGGAGCACTCTACAGGCCTCCCAAACCCTCTGCACACCCCAGTTTTGTGGAAAAACCACGCGTCACAAAAAATGGGCTGTGCAGAAGGTTTGGGAGGCCTGCAGAGTGCTCCTGGGCTCCGGGGAGGACAAAAATGTTTTTTTATTTAACTTTTCAAAATCTTGCTGTGTCTCATACTCCAGTGCGTCTTATAGTCCGAAAATTACAGTGTGTGTGTGTGTGTGTGTGTGTGTAGCAACTATATATACAGCTTAATTGTAAAGCTGTCAAATGCTGTAATACAGGCACACAGACACACACACACAGACAGTATCAGTATTTGACAGTTTTGCAATTCAGTACACCTAGCAAATACTATGTCAGAAGATCTCACAAAAAAGCATGAAAATTATAGCTAACTGTAATTTGAACTAGTTTGTTTTATGATCTGACAGGTTATCATTTTGTCTTCCTTCAGGCCCATACAGCTTGAAACTTGCTAAATCTGTTCATGACATATTGTGACTATTTTGGGACTGCAGCATAGCTAAAGTCCTTTTAAGGGGAAAAAAAAACACAATTCTTGAATACATCTGACTTGGTTGGTTTAGGACAGATTTAATTTTCAAAGTTGGGATGGCACAAAAATTGAGGTACGAATTTTCTACCACTCTTCTGAGTGGTTAGAACCACAAGGGAGAGGAAACACGAAGTAAGGAAGGTTCACAATGTTTGGGACTGAATTGGAGTAGCTTCAACTGGCATAGATTTTTTTTTGAACTGAAAACTTTTAGAGCCACCAAGGGCAAATTCCTCCTCTTTCTTTTTTGGAATATCACAACCACCATTATTCCCATTCCAAAAATGGGATCCTAGTGTGAAAAGAATATTGTTGGAGCTTTTCTAAGTTAAGGTATTGCCATAGAAATTGGCATGGCACAATCAAAAGAGATAAGATTTTGCCATTATTAGCTTGCTTGACCAGCTGCGTCCTTCTGTAAACCCCATCTCGATTGGTCCTTTTGACTTGATCCAAAAGAACTTTCTCTCTTTGAAATTCATGCCTCGTTTTTTCAGACAATGCATTTTTGTTGCAGACAAACTACGAAGAAGCATGCCTAATTTAGCTCGAATGCCGAGTACCCTTACTGTTAATACAAGCAGCAGCCAAGCAGGATCTGTGAGGAACAGCCTAAGTTTTGATTCTAACTTACATGGAGCCAGTAATGGGGTATCCAGAATGCAGTCTTGCAGTAAGTATGGGAATATTTGTGGGGTTTTTAATTTATTGAAAGCTGTTTGATTACCATTCTTTCCTATTCTTGGATCTTTTGATCCGATACTTCTGAGTTTGTCAGGATGCTCTATGTGTCAGATCTGACATCTTCAGCTTCTATGGTATGCTGGCATCCTGCCATAAAAAGAAAGATCTCCCACTTGCTGCATTTATTTCCCAGGGTGCCAGAGTAACTAAAATTGCCCTACAGTAGTACATTTCTTGCACATCTCATTTACTGGTAGCTGATGTCCAGCAAAATAGTCATCTATTTTCTCCTGCTTGGTTGGGTAGCCTGTAGCATATCCCTTTAGCAATATCGTTTCTTTTTCCTCTAATATTCACCCAAATGCATTCAAGAGGGCCTTCATCCTTAGGATCATGTATTTCTATAGAGAGTGATTACTTACATACAATGTATGTAAATACCTCCTCTTTTGCTATATCCTCTTCGGTTGGGTGTGTTTCAGAGGTGGGTTCCTACCGGTTCGGACCGGTTTGGCCAAGTAGGTAGCAACTCAGCCTGCCACACCCCCGAACAGGTTCTCTCAGCGGCGCCGTAGATACCGCCATTTAGCATTGTGCATGTGCGCGTAGCATGGTTCAAGCGGGTGCACACAGCACGTCCCTGAGCAAACCGGCAGTAGCAGCAGCCAGAACCCACCCTTGGTGTGTTTGCTTTAAATAATTTATATCCTTCTGGCAGTATGTTCCAGTCATGGATTCCATCCCACCAAGTTTCTATAATGACAGCAATATCGTACCTGTCCTCGTGCATTAGGATTTCAGGTTCTCCCTGTTCGTTCCCCCAAACTTTGAGGACTAATGGCTGACTTTGCGTTTGCTTCTTAACTCTCCTGTTTTATTCCTGAATTCTCCTGCCTTCTCTCCACTTCCTTCCTCGTTGTCTGTTTTGTTTTCTTGGGGTTTGGTCTTAAAGTTTGGCCACCCTCTCCTTCCTTTTTTAGTTTAAAGCCTTTCAGATGAGCCTAGCTAGTTGTTTCCCAGTCTTTGGTAGCTGCTGCCGGTTCAGGCAAACCGGTAGTTCCGAGCAGTGGCTGGGCCCACCCACCAGCCCCGGCGCTATCCCATCCTATATAATCGCTGTGTTTTTCTTGCTATGTGCATGTGCGGAAGGTGCACGCGAGAGTGAAGCGAGTGAGCATGAGCATGCGCTCCCATTTTCGGTTCTGACCAAACCGGTTGTTACATTATGTGACGCCCACCTCCGGATGCAGCCCGTCTCTTGCCAGAAGCCATTCTTGTAGATAATAGTCTAGAAATGCAAAGTTGTGTTAATGGCACCATCCTTTGAGACAATAGCAATAGCAATAGCAGTTAGACTTATATACAGCTTCATAGGGCTTTCAGCCCTCTCTAAGCGGTTTACAGAGTC